CAACGCGGGGCTTGATCCCACGACCCTGGGATCATGACCGGAGCTGAAATCAAGAGTTGGATGTTCAACCAACTGAGCAATCCAGACAGCCCTAGATGAGAGTACATTTAAATCATTCGGCTGGGTAAAACAGATTGATTGCCTTCCCTGATGTGGGTGGGCCTCATCAAATCAGTTGAAGGCCTGAATGGAATGAAAAGGCAGACCTCCCTGAGTAAGAGAGAATTCTTCAGCCTGAGGACATAGGCCACTTGTGCTCCTCCTCCCGGCCCTGAGCTCACCCACCTCTTGGTCCCCAGCCTCTCCTGGACAGAAGGCAGATGGAGGTGAGGAGGGAGGCTAACAAGGAATGAACAGAGTTATGTTCAGATGATGAACAAATGAAGAGGGTGGTGCCAAGGCGCTAGAGTGACTCTGGCTGGGGTCTGGAGTACGTGGGGCTCAGAGGACCTCCCCTGTGCCTCACTCCTTGCTGAGGCTGAAGGTCTCCAAGGGGGATGCACTGTGGCGGGCTGAGAAAGCAGGAGACTGGGGTCAGGTCCATGTTCTGCTCTGCACTTGTGGCCTTGAGCCGGTCATTGGCCATGTCCGGCCTCTGTGGCTGCATTTGCATCATGGCACCTTTTTGTGCGCCGGGCCCTGGGGTCCAGCAGGAGACCCCTACAGCCATGATCTTGGGAATCTCCTGATCTCCGGGACACATGGGCGTGAATTAGGCTTTCACACCTTTTTTCCCCATTTCACCCGTGATGAGTGCTTATCTGCGGGGGAAGTTCAGAGGCTTTGCCCCTGGCTCGGGGTGTGCTGAGAAGGAATAGGACTGAGGCAGGGGAAGTGGTGGGGAGGGCAGAATGGTGGAGGCTGAGGGAACAGCTTGTTTGGGAGTGAGGAGAGACTAGGGGTAGAAGGCAGAGATGGGAGGGTGGAGAGGGGTGCTGGCCCCTGTGGGGGGGGGGGAGGCTGTGCTTCCATTCAGGGCTTTATTCTGCGGTTGGGGCAGTCCCAGGACAGTTTTAAGCAGAGCAATGTGATCTGATCTGTTTTGGAAAGAGCCCTCGGGGCCTCTGGGTGGAGAGAAGGTGGGGGAGGGGAGGGGAGGCCCAGGATACGGGCTAGGAGGCCACTGCGGCAGGCCAGGGGTCAGGGAAGCTGCCACCAGCCGCTCTCAGAGCCAGCTTGGAGCCTGCAGACTTCCGTGTGGTGCCCCCAGTATAGAGAAATGCCAGCTACTGAAGGTCTGGCCTCCTCAGAAGAGATGCCCCAAGTCTGACCGGAAGCTCTTCACGGACATGAGACCACGGCTGGGGGGGCTCTGTGGAGGTAGACCCTTACCCTGCCCTGTGATCAGGCCTGGATTTGGATGGGGGGGGAGAGGGAGGGGAGAGAACTGAATAGGGAACTACGTAGTAGGAGGCTTGGTGACTGATGGCTGGTGTAGCGTTACTTGTCATTACCACCGCCCCCCCCACCCCCAACACCGCTGTCCTAGCCAGTTCCCCGAAAGGCACCCTATACTTGGGGAAGCCTTTCCTCCTTGTTCTGCCCATGCTCCAGACAAATCCTTTCCGAATTGAGGGCCCCGGAGCCAATGTCCTGTGTCCCCTAAGAGGTCGAACAGTCCTGCTTTGAAACACACTTTGCCGCTGGGCCACGCGCTGCCCTGAGTCCGAACTGTGATGTGCGCGCTGTCATTTGGGTGTCCGGGGAGACGCACTGAAAGCCGCCTCAGGCCAGTGGGCAGCAGCAGCCGGTGCTGTGCCTGACCTGCCTGTCCTTGTCGCCGGACCCTGCTCTGGTTTCTGGGGAGACACTGCAGCTGCCCAGCCCGCCCCCTCCTCCTGCATGGTGCATGGGCCCAGCATATGGCCCCTCTTCATCTCCCCTGCCCTCAACTCCCACGATGGACCCCCTTACACCCTGCATGAAAACATGGGTCCTTTGGGGGCGCCTGGGTGGCTTAGTCAGTTAAGCTTCTGACTCTTGGTTTCACTCAGGTCATGATCTCATGGCTTTGTGGGTTTGAGCCCCATGTCAGGCTCTGTGCTGGTAGCTTGGAGCCTGCTTGGGATTCTCTCTCCGTCTTTCTCTACCCCTCCCCCACTCATGCTATCCCTGTCTTTCTCAAATAAATACATGAACTTAAAAAAAAAAAAATCACCAGTATCTCCCCTGGTACCAGCTGTTGTTACGAGTATGTGTGCACACTCACTCACGCACGTTGTCTCTCACTCACACGTGCTCAGACACATCCCCACTCACCCGGCCTCACTTCCACGCATGACCTCTGCCTCGCCTGCTCCTTCGGGACACCACTGGTTGAGGCTCTGACCCTTTGGAGCTCCTGCTTTGGCCACTTCCTGGCTCTGATCCCAAGTCCCCTGCTGAGTCTGTGTCGGCTGATGCTGCCTGCCTGCCATCAGGGAAGGGCGCCTGTCCATTCCTGCCCCTCAGCCTGAATCCTGATGGGGGTGCATGGCCCGGCCTTACCCTCAGGGAGGGCCTTCCCTGCAGTCCTGCCCGACATGACAGGGCAGGGCCCAGGGGAAGGGTCGGGGGGGCCCCGCTGGGTATGGGGTCTGCAACCCGGACGTGAGAGGGAGAACACACACCAGTTCCCTCCCCAAGGCCGTCGTGGGAAAGAGAAGAAGTCATCCTACAGGAATGGGCCACGTTTGCCCACCCAGGCTCTGTCCCCACTCCTGATTTCCGCTGGGACACCTCTCCCCCCTTGGTAGGCCTTGAGATTTCTGGGGGGCTGACCCCATAGCTGGACACACCATGCTTCGGGCCACAGTGACTGTTTCAGGGAACGACCCAGGCTCTGGGGGCAGCAGCCAGGGTAGGGGACCTTGGCTCCGCTACTTATTCAGGGTGTAATTTGGGGCAAATGTGTAACTTCCCTTTGCCCAAGTTTCTTCATCTGTACAAAGGAGAGAGTAATAGTAGTAGTAAGTGCCCAATAACTGTTAGCTGCTGGTATTAATGGGACTAAGTTTGGGGTCTTCTGATAGAGGGGCTGGGAAAGGGAAGCTCTTTTTTCACTGGCATTGAGCTGCTGGAAGAATCTTGCCATCTTGAGGGAGAGTCTGCCTGATAATGAAGCCAGCACAAAGGCACAAAGTACTCAGAGATGGGGGGAAAGGACTTAATTCTGATGATAGCACTCAAGTCCCTTGATCCAGCTATTCCTGAAGACCTATCCATGAACTATTCAGGCATAACCAAATCTTTGTTTTTTTCTTCCTTTTTTTTTTTTGCTTAAGTTACTCTGTGTTGGGTTTTTGTCATTTTTTTT